TCTGTCATTCAGACCTCAGTTCCAAACAAACCACAAGTGATTTAATACAGCATATAGCGGATTGCTATATACATAATATCCAATTTGTTCACACAACAGATTTGATTTGGTGTATGGAAGAATGCATCGTAAAAATAAGCATTTAAGTGTCTAGAATGAGTGCTGACAGATTATGGTTTACCATGTAGCCAGTAGCCACACACTATGTTTCCCACATCTGAGCCACAATTGGAGGGCACTTGTTCATAAAAAATTTTCTCAACCCTGAAGTCTTTATAAAAAAACAAATATGCTCTTGAACAGAGCTGCGGGAACAGCAAATCCTGCCCATTTGTCCAACAAGTGGTTCGTGATTCAGAGGACAGATCCAGTATGGATCAATTGAGTCTTGCACTAGAATCTGCCAATACAATTGACAATATACTGTAAACAACGGCTGTGTTCACAATTGCATACTGTATTTTAATTTCTGCAGAATTTAGTATGTATTGTGCACCATATGCATTGATGTACTGAATGCCTGAATGGCCAACATGTGCAGTATACTACATAGAACACTGAGGAATACTGTATCCCATAATGCATTGCTCTTGACTTGATCCTCCATTTCCAACATAATGAATAAACATAATATCATTTGCATTTACTATCTTTCACTATTTGATAAGACTAATTTGGATTTACATGCCAATTATCAATATTAATCTCCAAGATCACTCATTATGCCATGTGATGACAAAAAGGGAAAGTTCACCCAAAAATAAAGAATCGAACATTTAATAACCTGTATGTCATTTCAAACCTCTATGAATGTCTTTCTTCTGTGGAAAATAAGAGATTATTTTCTGAGAAATGTGTATTTGTTATTATATTTATTTTATTTATCTTTTTTTTTTTTGCCCATATTGTGGAAGTCAATGGGCTCTAAAGTTGTTTGGTTTCCAATGTTTTTCAAAATAGCTTCTTTTATATTCCGCAGAAGACAGAAAGTCATAGTCATACATAAATAATGACAGAGTTTTCATTTTTGGGTAAACAGTCCTTTTAAATGTATTTAACTACCATCTAAACTGTTTATTGTTGAATATTGCTAAATCAAAAATTTCCACAAAGGCTTTCTTTTACATTAATAGACTATGAATCCAAGCTAAATATAATATTTACGAGTAATGCAGTGTAACACGTCAGGCTGATTTTTTATTTTCTCCTCTGTATAAAAGCATTGTGGCAAGCCTCAATTGACCAAATGCTTCTTTCGGCCCAAAACAGCAGGACGGCTCATTGCCATAGAAATCACATAGTTGAGGACACCTAGTCACCATAGCAATCTTCTCAACAGGATGGGAGGGTTGTATTGACAGATTTTTAACATGAGATGGACACCAGATTCATCCTCTGCAAGCAAGAGAGGAACCTACAACATGCTGGTTTTGAGGCTCAAAGAATTGAACATGAAGAGCAAAGAGAATTGATATAAGCAGTGATGATATAATAGTACAGGAACTGCAGATAAATATGATAATACTTTTTGGTACTTGGTAAATATGGTACTTTCTGAATATTCGAAAGCATGTTGCACAAAATAAATTAAAGGGATAGTTGACCATAAAAATAAAATGTCATCATTTTTTCACCAAAATTTACTTTTTTTGTGGAACAAAACAGAAGATATTTCGAAGAATGTTTTTGTCCATACTAGGTCTGCACAATATTGCAATATGGCAGTGTATACATTTATTTATCGGCAACTTGTCAAAATAAAAGCCTAATATTTTTTTCATTTGAAAATATAAAGAAATTTTACAGTATTTTTTTATTACTTGTTTTTTTTTTATTTTGCTGTTTTTATTTTACAGTATCATTAAATATATATATATATATATATATATTAGATTATCACAGTAATCTCAATATTATAATTAATAATCACAATAAAATAAAAACAGTGGGAATGTGGTCTAAAAAAAACTCAAGTGGAAAGAGATTTTTTTTTTTAAACTCTGGTTACTGAAAAAGGTTTGAGTCAGTTCTTGTAAAAAGCAAACTCAAGTATGAACGGGCAAATTTTTACGTTTTTCCTAAATCTTGCAGTCACAAAATTCACAATTTAAAAAAAAAAATCTTTAGACTAAAAAATATTTTGTAGCATTATTATTATTATTATTACCAGCAGCATTTTTTTTTATTATTTTATTTTATTATTTTTATGCATTTATTTACTTTATTTACCTTTTTTATTTATTTTTTGCTGATACACTCTCCAAAAAAATCACCTCACTAATTCTATAATTATTCATTCTTTTAAAAAAAAAAAATGATTCAAGTAATCTGGTAAAAATTCAGATATGTCATATCGCAATATATATAGACCAATTCGGTGTTGACGAAACAGTGATGACGTTTTTGTGGGCAGGGCCTATCTGGTGGCAGACAATGACAGTTTTCAAGTAGCATATATTTCAAAATTCTGACTTCTCGCAATTCCAAGATTATATCTCACAATTCCGATAAGGAAAAACAACTCGTCATTCTCTCTTTTCCCCTCGGCTCAGAATCATGAGTTTATATCCCTGTCGTCTGGGTTTTTTTTCCTCAGAATTGACAAACTCACTATTGTTGAGTTAAATCGAGTTATAAAGTCCAAACTAGGAGATATAAACTTGCATTTTCGAGAAAAAAAAAAGTCAGAATTGTGAGATAATATAAATAAATATTATGTAAAATATTAATAGGTTTAAATAATATTTCTTGCTGTAACTGTAGGGCTAATATACAATACGTCCCCTATGAACTGCATATGTGAATATTATGTAGACCTACTGTTTGACCTACTGTTGAGTAATCATAGCAGTTTTCATCCATATAGTCTGTCTGGTTAAACGTCTGCGTTTAGCCTCAAATGGTGTCTTTGATGACAGTATTCTATAAAAATGATTTGCATTCTGATTCTGACATCCAAAGGCACAACAATACATGTTCTCTCTTATTCCATGTATTTGACCCATTTCCCTGCACTTGTTGCCAGTGTTTTTCTGCCACCACCATGAGCGCGCAGCTGCAAGTGACATAACTGTGACGTCTACTCCAAATTGGTCTACTGCAGAAAAGCAAAACATCACTGGATCCCACTGACTTTCTTTGTATAAGAAAAAAAAAAGTTGGGTGAACAAGGAAACAGTTGATCATATTAATAAGCTTGAATGTGTGCATGAGAGAAAGTGGGCATTAGTGCACGGAAAAAATGAAATAATCAGAGAGCAGGCATTACTAATACAAACTCATCATCAGTATGGCAAAATAAGTGGAGACTGGAATTAAAATTGAGTTTTGATTTAAAGCTGCCATTGTTCAAGGAGTTTGAGGTCTAGACATGGAGCAGCTGAATTCACCCAGTATCTATTACGAATAAAATAACTACTTTAACTAATGTTACATGCCATGCTTTGAGCAATACCCATCATTCTGTTAGCGTAAAGGAAGCAGATTCAGTTTGGCAGACGGCCCAACTGTTAAAAAGCAAAACGGTGTTTATCCAAAGGAATTCTTGAGAAGTTCTGTAGGATGTTTTAAGTTGCATTTCCTTTTCAGAGCAAATGATAAAATCAAACCTGATTTAACCAACTACTAGGAAAGCCTGTGTACTTTTTAGTGTGCGAAAATCATGTTTGTCAAAAAAGGCGCTCAGTTACATAATTTTCCCTCCACACACACACACTACAGTTCTAAAGGTCTGTACGATTTTTTTTTTAATTAAACTATTAATTTTATTCAGCAAGGATGCAATAAATTGTTTAAAAGTGTCCTTAAAGACATTAATAACGACATTTAGATAGCGAAAAAATTCAGTTTGAACTTTCTATTCTTCAAAGAATCCTGAAACAAAAGTGAATATGTTTGTCAGCATTCATTATATCAGAAATATTTCTTGAGCGGCAAATCTGCATATTAGAATGATTTCTGAAGGATCATGTGACACTGAAGACTGGGATAATTATGCTGAAAAGTCAGCTTTGCGTCACAGGAATAAATTGTATTTTAAAATAAATGAACATAGAAAAGAGTTATTTTAAATTGTAATATTATTTGCTGTTTTGACTATATTTTTGATCAAATAAACACATAAGAGACTACAAAAACATTTTCAAAAATCTTACTGAGCCCAAACCTTTGAACAGTACACTGAATGTACTTCACTTAGGTAAGTTCCTGAGATGTCTGAATGATCTGCAAGACTGTTCAAATCTTGCTCCTTACAGCGCTCAGATAACTCGCCTGAACAAACTAACTCCTCTATACAAGTGCACATTCAATATTTGAAAGTCAGTTTCTGTTTAGTCACATACACTTGGCTACAAAAAGCAACTGCACATTTCCACATTTCCACCATTATTGCCCCAGAAGAAAGATACAGTTCATTCACCACGCTATTGATCCTATAGTGGAACATGTTGTCTCACTATATGGGGTAATGGAACCTCTGCCATTAAACAGCCTTCAGATGCTTTACAGCTAAATAAATGAAAGCAGTTATGAGACACAGAACATGAAACAGCAAAAAAAAAAAATTGTTACATGTTACACCTGTATGTGACACTGTTCAACTTTTCTTCATTGCATAGCTGACTTGTCTGAATGTTGCCTGTGATTTAATTGTGTTGATTTGTTTACAGATATTAATATATATATGAAGATTCTGTCATTTTAGTTCGGAGGACAGAATAAGAACAATACAAATGCTCATTTAAGATGGTTTAAACCATACTGAAACTAACATATATAACCTACAGAAAACAAGCATTTATTTAACTGGACTTTGGACTCAAATGTCTTAAGATGCAATCCTTGTAACAACTTCCTCGTGTGACAACTAGCCCTAGTGTTCTCTCATATATATTACCATTCAATAACTGTTCATAACAGAATTTAAGAATGACTGACAGGATGATTATATGAAACACCAATGCTTCTCAGATGTCATGAGTGTGAGGAATATGGCTTACCAACATCACAGAGAAGAAGAGATGTCACAGCGTGTCTCAGTGTCCTGACTCCTCCAGAACAGCGCGCTCTGTGCTGGAACAGCATGCGGCGGAGAGTGAGCGGAGAAGCGGTGAGCCACTATGTGTTTCTCTCCCGGCGAAACCGGATCCTCCGGTCCACCCCACCCCAGAGCTGCCTCCGCCTCCAGCGCGCGCATAAAGGCTGCGTTGTTACCTGCAGCCGAGTCCGACACGCTCCAGACGCCCCGCACGCTTCTCTGGCAGGAGAAACTTATTTATCTGCCGGATTTGTTCCGTCGAGCGACAGTTTCTTCGGTTTATTAATTTCTGCCTTGCACTCTTTTAATGCCCCTGTTTATTAAAGTAAGCCCAAATAGCCCACAAATAGATGGCAGCCTTGCTGGTTTTCAGTGATGTGATGTTTTTATACAACAGTTCTATAAAAAAAGTAAGTAGTAGTCTGTTAATGAACTCATTTTCCACGAAATAGTGAAGTTAGCTGGTATATTTCTTCGCCACAAATGAAAAAACTGAAGCGTCAATTTTTGCGTGTCACCAAGCAAGAAAGCTGGCCTGGAACAGCATGGATATCCTCAACCCGCTAAAGGTACTCGGCGAATTTTCGCGGGGAATTTTGCGTGAAGGCAAAAGATTTTCTCGCAGATTTCGCAAGGAGTTCGTGTTTTCTCGCAAATCTGCAGTGCGAACAGAAAGCTGCTTTGTTTGAAATACTTGACTTTTATGTGAGCTACACTACCCACTACAAACATGGATTTTTTTGCCTGCAAAATTTTACCGAAATTTCGCTAATGTTAGGCCTACCACATTTTAAAGGGATAGTCCACCCAGAAATTAAAATTGTCTCATCATTTACTTTCCCTAATGCCATTCCAAATATGACTTCTTCAGACAAACTATTAAATAAATAATCTATCTCTGTGAGTCCATATAATGTAATATTTACAAGTTGTGTTAAGCACGTTGTGAAAAGTGATGGCTCTCTGAGCTTCCACATATTTCCTTGTGTAAGTCACACTTCACAATGTGCTGATATTCACAGCGTGCTAACAGCTGGCTAGAAGCGATGATATATATAGTTTAAAAAGTTTAAAATATTAGTGTTTTTCTCATACACACCTATCATTTCACTTCAGAAGACACTGATTCATCAGCTGGAGTTGTATTGGTTACCGTCATGTTCGTTTTGCATGGTTTTTGAAGCATCAACTTTGACGGACCCATCCACTTGCAATGTGGCTCATATTTTTCAAAAAATTGCCATTTGTGTTCCACAGAAGAGAGAAAGTCATATACATTTGGGAGGGCATGAGTGAGTAAATGATGAGAGAAATTTCATTTTTGGGTGGAGTATCCGTTTAAGAAAGTTCTGTAATCACTCCACTCCATATCCACTCCTGGTTTTACATTAAATTAATCCACTATTTATTAAATGATTCAAGCATCCTTATTCTATCAAGTAGCCTACTAAGTAACAGATTTTTTTTCACAGTAACACATTCACCGAATTTGGGTGTCTGGACTTCTCTGTATGCGCCCTATTCATACCGATTAACGAACAGTTGAGACTATTCATGCCATACTGTTGAGGTCTATTTTGGGTTTTACCCCGTTTGGATCAAGATGGTAGTGCTTTCTTGGACTAATCTGTAGATAGACCTATATTTATAAAGCAAATAGTTGGCAGCAAAATTTGTATGACCTTTGGTTTTGTAAATGCTACTCTGATTAAACTGGAAACAATGTGTAGAACAGCAATGAAAAGTTCTTTCATTCACTTTTTTTCTCTCTCAATCCAATAGCTAAACAGCGTCCCCTACTGGCCAGCAAAAGTGACACATCCTTAAATATTTTCATCCATAAACTTTTACATGCCATTAATAAAGTTTTAAGGTGTTTTGAGTAACATTAAGTATGCAAAAATAACCACTTTTTATTTCAAATAACTTTTGGTGTAAAATAAAATAGAAATAAGTGTCTTTTAGGATATATATATATATATATATATATATATATGCCTTAAAACCCAGCAAAAATACACTGTAAACATTTATGTGGTCTACTTGTTTGGGTTAACTGGTTGCTGTAATGGGAGTTTCTGCCCTTTCAGTTCGAGTATTACTTGATTGACATTTTTGTCACGCACCCAGTAATATACCACCAACAAACAACAAAAGTATACATGCTCATTATGGTGTACAAATCAGCTGCACAAGCTTTTCCCATCCTTGAGATACAGAGGGAACTCAAACCGAGGCTGAAAAAAATGTTGACAGGCTGTTAAGCGTTTCAAAGGTCAACCACAGAATTGGCTAATTTATGTTACTTGATCTCCAGCCAGTGTGTTTGTAACAAAATGTGAGCTATGGGAGGCGTAGCATTTTCAGAGAGGGGAACACTGGTTGGTTCATTTGGTTAGTGTTGTAACTTGGTAACAAGCATGCTTAAACAGGGAAGCAGGGGCCACTTTAGCCTGTATGAGAAATTTACAATGTTGGACCCCATGGACCTTGTATGGATGTAAGGACAAAAACAGACATTTTTCAAAGCATTTTCTTTGTGTTCTGTGGAATAAAAAATGCATACAGGTTTGGAACAAACACAGATGTGCTCTAAATTAAATGAAGAATGTCTGTGGACTATTTTTACGTCATACCACAAATGTTACTTTGGATTTAAGCCATTTTCTCTCTATATTTGGTACTTTGGGTCATCGTCCTGCAGGCCTCTACGCAATTTCTCCTAAAATTACACATTTTTGGTTGCCCAATTCTTTAGGACAGCCTGATCTCAGGAGTGTCTGTTCTGTTTAATGTATTTGCCAATCCCTATCTATCTATCTATCTATCTATCTATCT